AAGACCAGGCTGACCAACGTAGTGAAACCCCGTCTTTACTAAAAAAAAAAAAGAAAAAGAAAAAAAGAGTGAAAGGTGGAAGAATGACTGATGAAAGACAGAAACCTTGGGTTTGAAGGATGGCACCAAACAAAAAGGGCAAGATAGGGTAAAAAAAAAATATAGAATCTAAGTGAAATGGAGGTTGGGAAAATGACACCACAGAAAACAAGTATATATGGAGCAGAGGAATTGTGAATATAGAAGAAAATAGTGTACGAATATCGGACAAGGGTGACAAAAAGGCTTTTGATGTGAAAAGGTGTGGGTGCGATAAAAAATGCTGGGATAATTTAAGGCTCTCTGTGAAAGCATCTTCAGGCTTTGTACTGGGTAAGCGCAGGAAGGCACAGAAAGAGAACAATGTCAAAGAAAGCTTTTGGCATAAAGGGGCTGGGCAGTCAGGAATCTTAAGGGGAACAGTGGTTGGGAAAATAGCACTATGGAAGCCAAAAATGGGACAAAAAGGTCCAGTAAGCAATGGTACATGTCTAAATGAAGGGTTTGGAAGATTCTACAATGGTGATATGTGGGAGTTTACAGTATACATGTACATATACACATTTAGTCCAGTCCACGGTATAAAGAGAGCCACCAAGAGGTACCAAGGAGAGGGGGTCGACTGCTAACCCAGTGAGAATGTGGGAATACTGGGGGATGCAGAGACAAAAGCACACACAAAACCCTGGTGTCTGTATATGATACGAAAGTTTCTATTTCTCCCTGCTTTTTTTTTTTTTTCTTCTGAGACAAAATTTCACTTTTGGTCACCCAGGCTGGAGTGCAATGGCATGATATCTGCTCACTGCAACCTCTGCCCTCCCAGGTTCAAGCAATTCTCCTGTCTCAGCCTCCCAAGTAGCTGGGATTACAGGCGCCTGCCACCACGCTCAGCTAATTTTTATATTTTCAGTAGAGACAGGGTTTCAACACATTGGCCAGGCTAGTCTTGAACTACTGACCTCAGGTGATGCGCCTGACTCGGCCTCCCAAAGTGCTGGGAATACAGGAGTAAGCCATCATGCTCAGCCGCTTTTTTTATTATTAAGGTTTTCAAATATGTAGACTAAAGGTTACTTTAATGGGGAAAAGGATATAAGGTAGAATGCACACCAGACTGCCACTGTGTGCAAATGTATACTTACAGACAAGACTCAGAAAGTAATATTAATCAGAAAAATGTTAAGGTGACAGGATTATAAGTGATCTTTTTCTCCAGAATGTCTTTAATAATATTGTCACTTAAAAT